GAGGCCCCTAAAAGAGTCCTGCCTATGGCAGGGAGGCATCCATGAATGTGGTCCTGGGCATTCCCAGAGCCTGAACAGGCTGGTTTTCCTAAAGGGTCATGAACGGCTTGTGCATAACACTGACTAATTTTTCTCTGGATGGTAGGCTGTAATGGGACTAGACTACTTCTGCTTAAATAAGAAACCAAAACGGTCTGCAGCCGGGGTACTGGGTGGAGGGGCAGGGTGAAGGGCACTATACTCTTTAGAACCTGTCCTGGGCCCCAGTCTGTGTGGCCTCACAGCAATGGCTGTGCCTCATAAACCCAGAGCACATCACTATTCCTGATTTCCTGGGGTTTATTTAACTGCTTAACTCGTGTATATGATGCAGCATCTGCCTTTGGGGACCCACACTTCCTCACATTCGATGGGCTGAACTTCACATTCAAGGGCCATGGTGAATACACACTGGTGGAGTCCAATCTGACGTCTCTAAGAGTACAAGGGAGGACCCAGCCTACCAGACTTCCCAGCAGTAAGTTGGTGAGAGAGACAGCAGTGCTGACAAAGGCAATTCTTGGGTTAGACGGTTTGGTCTGGTTTTGAATATGGAAGCCAGACCTATCTTCTCCTCGTCCTTAACCGGTTCCCCCATGCCCCACTTCAACACTTAAGTTATCATAAAAAAAGTCAGGATTCTTGATAAAATGAATAGGATGGTTCACACTTTTGTATGAGATTTAAAAAATAAAGTACGAGAGTTATAGTTCTGCCCCATTTAACATCAATTCAGGATTAAGGCTATCAAAAAGTGGCATGCTCAGGGCAAAATTCTCGCACTCTAAATGGCTTGCACCAGCCTTTTGTGTGATAAGCTGTGATGAGCTGATTTAGCTGTCACTGGAAAGAGAAGAGATATAGTAGCAAAGGATGGCTGGATATTTGAAGCAGCAAGGAAAACAGAACATAACAGCAAGAAAGATAATAAAATAAGGCAGTGAAAAGATTTTGGACAAGCCCATCCAGCAGTAAATTACATCAATATAAGCAAATTAGGGAATTAAAAGCTAAGGTCATTAATAGCTCAGGTCATTAATTACTAATGATAATCTGTTAAGGGAAGAAAGTAAGGTATAGGGCAGAAATGCTTTTTTATCCTTTTATGCAGAGAATTTTTAGCTCCAAACAACTACAGAAAAAGAACAAGGATCAGATATACCAAAAAAAAAACCCATTGTAAGACTAACTGCTATAAATGAATGTGAAACATGGACGTTTAGTACAAAGGAATATGACATAAGTAAATGCCTTTAAAAATAAAGAACTGAGATGAAATTTTGGGCCAAGAAGGAACAAATCATGTGTGGAAAAAAGAAAGAGGGAATTGTGGGATGCCTGTGAAGAGCCAGGTAAAGTAAATACAGTGACATACAGCAAGCGGGACTTAGAGTTACAATACCACATCACAGACTGGCCCCCAAAGGAGAGATTTAGCTAGTTCCAATGGTGTTTGATCTCAAAGACAACCAAGGAGAAGATGGAAAGATTATACTGAACAAGACCTAGGATCTCTTAACATTAATAACCAGCAGCGGGGAAAATAGGCCCTTGGGAGAGCCAAGGAAAAACTTTGAGAATAGACGAGAACCTTCACGGACCTACAGAGCCCAGGAGCAGCCCATTCTGGATGGGACTGATGCTGAGAGGCACTGCCTGGTCCTGGTTCCTCCCCAGCCCTTTCAACTACATAATTTCCTTAACAAATACATTAAGGCTGCAGCTGTCCGAGGCTCCACTCAAAGACTGCACACACGTAAGGGGTTGCAGTTACTCTTCTGGCTTAGCTCTGTGCCTACCATTGGAGTCCGAGGTCTGGGGAGAGGGCTGACTTTCCTGATTTTTGAATGCTTAATGGTTCAGCCTGAACATAGATTAATATTAGTAGCAGAAGGAAGGCTTTTGTGTGTTTAAATCTAAGCTTGACAGGCATCAAATCAATGTTGATTATATGTAATCATTTTTACTCATATTTTGCACATTTTGGGACACTTAGTGTGCTCCGCACAGGACTTGGGGCGCTGTTTTTATTTGATCTTGTTGTTTGCAAGGAACGGTGGCACAGGTAACAGGCTTGTCTGCTGTGGCCATGCAGGAGAGTAACTCTGACGTGATCGAGGTACGCTGTTCGGAGTACTCGGCCCTGGAGGTCCTGCTGAACCAGGAGGTGCTCAACTTTTCTGAGCAAAGCTGGATGGATTTGAAAGGTCAGACTGATGGATGGGCATCTGCCCCAGCTCTGCTTTTGTTGAGGTCACACTTTTCAGTCCTACCTGACCCTTGTGCAGTGAAAGGTCACACTGGATGTACATGCTTTCAATCCCTGCTTTCTGATCAGTGGTGAAGGTGGCACCTGCAACTCACTGTGGAGATGATGTGAGGAGCAAGCATGGCTGGCCCGCAGCATCCCAACCAATGTGTTTTCTTGCTTAACCTGCCCCTCTGAGGATGATGGTGCTGGGAGCTAAAAAGAAAGGCAGGGGCCTAAGCAGGGCATGGGCACCAGCCCAAACAGCTGCAAAAAGTGCTGAGGCCTGGGTCACCACGACGGCACTCCATCCTAGCTGTACCTTACAGCTGGGACTCCTGATGGTGCCAAGTGACTGACTCCCCTAGCCGTACCAGCCTGTAGGGCTATGGTGTTTTTTCTGTGCAGCCATGGTCACTCCCTCTGCCCCAGAGTGACACGTGTCTGGACTGGCCCCAAGCATGGCAGTAGTGCCTCAGAGAGCACAGCCCTTCCCTGAGCCTGCTGCAGTGCAGGCAGGGCACGCAGGTACCTGCT